TTAGAAAAATAAATACGTACCGATACCAACTTAAAAAAAAAAGTAAAAACAACGAGAAAAAATTAGATATGACCACCAACACAAAAAACCTATTGTATCACATTTCGAGAAATATATGTATTTGTTATTGTTTTAATTGAATCCTATAGTTGTATACCATATCCTATGTTCCTACATACGCATCTTAATCTTGTTTTCGAATTTTCTTGGTATATTTAACAATCAGCAATTATGTACTCTTATTATTTTGTATTCTATATCTTTAATGATTTTACTGAACCAAAAATCAATTTTAAATTCATCAAAGTATTACTTGCTAAAATAAAAATATAACGTACTTAGTAAACAAAATGTTGACAGTGTTGTTAAATTTCACATTTGATGTCAATCTGCTAACACTGCTAACATTTGGCTATCTGAGTACTATACACTAAAAATTACGATTTAAAGTCTTGAAATACGTGATTTGCCTTTCCTAATATACTAAAAATTACGATTTAAAGTCTTGAAATACGTAATTTGCTTTTCCTAATATACTGGATAATATATTAGCTTATTTTAGATACTTATTTAAATAGATAGTGTGAAGAAAAAAGGAAAACGGTAAAATAAATGGATTTTGTTTCCGATTTAATGTAAAACTATCTGTCGGTAATCAAGTTTAATATTTTAGAATCGTAAATATTGTTTTGTTCAACTGCTTAAAAGAATGGATTCGTATGTGAAAATTGATTCCGTTTAACATGAAATTGATTTGCAAATTGCGCTGAATAAAACATGCGCATGATACGAAAGAAGAAACCAAGCATGTATCAAAATAAGAAGCATGTTCTTCGTTACCGCGTGTTGTAAAGAAAGATTTTAATACGTACAGCCACAAGAGAAAAATCTGTTGAAATATCATTTTTCTGTTGCCAGTAATTGAACTTTAATTTAATAAATTATTAATGTTTTATTCAATGTAAACAACGTGAACACGTGGTGCAAACAATAAGAACAAAAAGAACTCAAATCGCGCACTATTATTCTTTTAGAAAGTTTTTGAAGTACTTACTTGAAAAAAAATATATATATAAATAAATAAAACATTAAAAAAATAGAAACGTATTATATATGACAAATGTAACAAATATTTTTAATTTTAAATTGTAATTGTAAATTATACAGTCCAATAATATTGATGTTTTTCTATTAAGAATGTATTTTTATATTTAAATATAAATAATAAAGTACGCAAAAACATACAGAATCGATAAGAACTTAGCGTAAGTTAGAGGATGTTAAATAGAATAAGTAGAACGGTATATTTCTTTAATCATATACCTCTATTACTGTCGCAATTTCCTGTAAGTGTGCAACTACGATAAATTAACAATAGGTTGCTTCATATAGTTTGCTGCACATTTATGCTACACTAATTAGATATAAATAATCTGATTGTACTAAATAAACACACGTAAGTATAATAATTTATAATTTAGTAAACAATAAGAAAAGATATACAAACAACAGTTTTAAAAAATATTTTTTAAAATTATTTTTTTATCAATAATATTAATGCACCAATAATTTGTAAGTAAGTTATGATTTTAAAAAGTTATATAAAAAATTTAATTTAAAATTGATTAAAAAATGCGTAAGTAAGAAGATATAAACTTTAAACAATCTGCTTATTTGTAAGAGAAATTTCCGAGACAACATATCAGAGATATTAATAACACAAAAACATTAACAAGAATACTTAAGTAAACTATCATTTATCCCCACTATCTCCGATTACGACGTCAGCTTGCTACATGCTTCAGTCGTGTCCAGTCGTACACTTTACGTTAAACGAGACAGACGCACGATGTGGAAAACTACAACGGTGATTTTGGTTATCACCATCGGCATAGCTTTTCTGTTCCGGTGAGTGCATCGAATAAATAAATTTCTAAAACGTTTTATCAAAGATTAAACAAAACATTGATTCCAAACTCTGTAAATTTCTTCCGGCACTTTTTTCAATCTTTATACACTCAAAAATGATTAACTCACGATTAGTGTATACATAAAAAAGAATTAATATTATAAACTTCCGTGCAGCTCTAATCCCGTCACAGAAATACCGAACTTGCCCGAAACTTTCTGGGGTCCGGAAAAAAATAAAGGAGCATCGAAGGAAATACGACCTTTTGTCATTAATATATCAAAGTCGGTAAGTCACGCAAGAGAATAAAAAAAATGTTTATTCATTAAAGCAAATAATAGATCTTTGAAGTGATATTCTTGTTGACCTATTATGCAAGACGTACATTACACTGTAATTACATTGTAATTACACTAAAAAGATAAATATCAATTATATTACTGATTATGACCAGTACATACTTGCAGTTATTTATTTTTCAATTTTTATCTCATCTAATCGTTTGGTTGTCTGATAACGCGTTCTTATCATATTAATGCATATCAACCGCAGCCGATGTTTTTTATCGACGAAAATAAATGTCATTTAATCACGTCAACAGACCTTGACTATTACATAATGATACTGCTTTCCAACTTAGCGTTGTAATTCTAAACAGTTAAAGTAGATACATAGTAAGTCGTTTTGCCGATAAACACTGTTTCACTTAAATGTTAACTAAAATATCAGATAATATTTATCATAGAAATTGATAAATGTTTTTATAAGACTTTTAAAGATTTTAAAATTAAGAATGAATAAATAAAATTTTAAAATAAGAAAAAGAATAAAAATATAAAAGATATAAAAGATATCACTATTAACAAAATCAAATAAAATTCAATAGGAGCGTAAAGAGCCACAATGCAGGTGATTCGTGTGAAGGTTATAGTATATTCATTTAAAATTATTTACATTTACAAACGTTTCTGCCTAACATCAAGCCTTCTTCAGTGTACAATAAGAAACGAAAAAATCGCAACGCAGTAATTACACAGACAATATAATGTGGAAAAAGTGTTCAAAATCCATTTCAACGAAAATGTTGTTCAGTACATAAAAAAGTTAGGACTGCAATCAATGCAATAAAATCCAATGAGAATTAAAGTTATAAAAAGTAATTTGACCAGAGATTATGAAATGATTTATACATACTTGTGATAATTACATGTAAAAAGTAAGCTCATCCACGCAGAAGCAACGAGGTGGAAGATTGAAAAGCTGTTATACTTAAACAGTTAACAGTTGAGATCTTAATGATTAGAATAAGGTCAAAAAAATTCCGAGTGATGATAGAAAAGGATGTCAGGCAGAAACGTTTGTAAATGAAATAATTTTAAATAAATATACTGTAACCTTCGGACGAATAACCTGCATTGTGGCTCTTTACGCTCCTATTGAATTTTATTTGATTTTGTTAATCTCACTAAAGCCTTGTACATTAATTATTTTTATCATCATTAATATGAATTTTTAATTATAAATGTAAAATATGAAAGAATTTAAGAGATTTTACTGTGTGTGTTGAATATTTGAAAATAAAATATTTTATTTAATAAAATCTCTGAAAAGAAATGTAGAATGAAATAAGTTTATTATTATTTTATCCAGCAATTTTAAGTTTGAAAAAATGGATCGATTATGACTAAAAAAAATTTAGCTTTACGATTTGAAAGCATCACTAATTGATCTTTCATTAAGAAAGAAGAACGAGTAATAATTTTGTTCTAAGATGCAATTTTTTTAATAAGGTAATCGACGACTTGAACGAACGACTTGCAAAAAGAAGAGAATTAGTGGAACCATTGGAAGATGCTGCTTGGACTTACGGTATCAGTTCGACATATTTGAAAGATATTCTTGAATATTGGCAAACAAAATATAATTGGTCTCAACGGCAAGCGCTTCTAAACAAGTATCCTCAGTACGTGACCAATGTACAAGGTAATACATTATTTTTTGTGTCCACCGATTTATCAGTTTTTTTTAAAGAACGTTTGTAAAATTTTTGCAATAAACTGGAAAATTATTTTCTGAAATGAATGATGGCCAGCATTTATTTAATATTTTTTCTTTCCTTGCCATTCATCATCTTGTAAGAGCTATATTAACGGGAGATAATGAAAGCCGACCCAGATTATTCAGCCACGGTCCAACCATAAAAGCACCGTTAGAATGATTCTGTTTACTTGACTAAAAGAATCATCGTCAGTTTCGAGCAAAGTTTAAATTATTTTTGTATATAGTTAGTTAGATTTGATATATAGTTAGATAGATGTATACTTTTGTTATTATTACGTCAGAATACAAAGTACAAATTTAATCGCACAGATAATTAATTCTTGATCTATGTTTATTAAAAGAGCAATCGTCTATTATATTCAATAACGGACGATATAATATAAATGTATTTATTTAAATCACGATGAAAGTTTAATTGTAAACTTGGTAACTCGGAAGTTACCAAGTTATTTTCTGGTTTGGAAAATTCAATTGTATTGTTTTTCAAATATTACTATACTATACTATTCCGCCATGTTACTGTGTTATTAAAATATTAATGTTATTATGACTGCATTTAAAAAATAGAGCAAAGTTAATAAATTTAAATTATCATTTGCAGGTCTGGACATACATTTTTATCATGTGAAACCACATATTCCACCGGAGCGAAAAAATATAAAAGTTCTTCCATTGTTAATTTCACATGGTTGGCCAGGATCCGTGGTGGAGTTTCAAAAAATTTTGCCTATATTAACGACACCGCGTCCTGACAAAGACTTTGTATTTGAGGTGATAGCACCTTCACTTCCGGGATATGGATTCTCGCAAGCGGCTGTACGACCAGGAATGGGCCCGGCACAGGTTTGTTAAATACGAATAATTTTATGCATTACATAATCAAAGACAGTATAAAAATAATGTATTGATATTGCTAATATTTGATATTTATTTCTGCGGCGCATAAATCCTGTCAATTGTTTACTATTTTTAGATATCTGTTGTATTCAAAAATCTTATGTTGCGTCTTGGCTTCAAGAAATTCTACGTACAGGGAGGAGATTGGGGTTCGGCTATTTCCGCACATTTAGCTGCTCTCTTTCCAGACAAGTACGTGTCACTAATAATATTTGTAATAAATCAATAAGTCGTAATATATATATATATATATATATATAAATACAAAATAATCGTAATTATCTTCCAGTGTTTTTGGTGGTCATTTAAATATGTGTATGGGTATAATGAGCAAGTCTAACCTTTTTTGGAGATTGCTCGGTGCTTTTATCCCATCACTCGTAGTCGAGAGCGAACATTATTCTAAAATGTATCCTTTGGGATCTCACCTGAGTTATATCCTTGAAGAATCAGGATACATGCATTTACAGGCTACTAAACCAGATACTATAGGTATTTGCTATAAGAGAAGTTTATATATATATATATATATATAATATATATATATA